TAGCTATTCCTTTTTACTTACTGTGGATACTTCCATCAGACAAGTGCTTTCTTTAGCCGCTTGTACTAATGTAAGGTAGCTACCGATCGAAGCCGTATCTCTCAGCGACCAACCGCATCGTCCCCGTAACAGCGGTACCATTGTTTCGAACGCAACTCCCTGCAGACGAGTTTGGTACGTTAATTGGAACATGGAAAACTCGGATCCAATTGCACACTTCCTCTATGATGCCGTTCTGATTCTCCTTTCTGCTGCGCAACTTCATCTACAATGTATCTGCGATGGTTGGTTTGTGCGCTACTGTACCCTTCATCCTCAGCAATCCAAGATGCCTTCGTGTCTTCTCGTTTTTCCACTTACTACTCATTCGTAGTGCACCACGTGTCGTGTGGCGCTTTATGAGAATCAAAACCGGAAACTGGTCTAGGATCAGAATCGATTTGGATTAGAATGCAACATATTGTTTATAGGGTAACCTACGCTCCGTTGAGCGATCCAAGTTTGTTCCTCCTTGTTTGGTTGCCTCTGGCGGAAACTTAGCATCGATCGAGCCAGTTGGTCGTGCTTGCTTACAAAGCGATCCTCGCTTACGAGCGTAGACGTTGCTGCTCGACTGTCGGTGGACAATCGATCGATCGACCTCTTGCCTACCCGTTCCGTATGCGTAGGGGCGATGGTTTACGTACCACCGTGACCCAATGAGCCATGCCGAGTGGCACTTTCCAAGTGTCTTCCAAGCGTCATACCAGACAGGTCAATAGTTAGGGGTCAGACTAACTCAGTCCTCGCAATCCAATCCTCTTGGGAGGTTAGGGAGAAGTCGATGGCCCTCTTCGTTTAAGACAACAGGTCTAGGGTTATAAGTTGGCAGTTCGATTGCCGTAGAGCACGAGCGCTGCGCATTGTCTCTGACGGTGGTAGGGCATCTCCCAGTGCTCAGTGGTTTGCTACTGCCCGCCTTGAGTCAGAAAGTCTCTGATCAAATTGTTGCAAACCCGCCAACTCCCACCTAGGACTGGCCGTGGTCGCAGGTGCGTAACGTAATACGGTCGTAAAACACCTGTGAATTTTTCCAAATCTTCAAAGACTGTGTGTGACAGGCCTCAAGCAGATTCCACTGGGTCTCTGCAATCACACTCCCGAGCTGGACTTGCTCCCCACCGTCTTGTGAGTCAGGCTATTGAGCCAAAGACTCCGGGTGGAGTCCCTCTAGCGAACCTTCAAACTCACTTCTTCCCTGTCTATTGAGCAAGAATCTGCCGCTGACCTCGTCGCCTCTGCCATCGATACTCGTAACTCGTCTATCAAACCACGAGTCTCATTTCACTTTGGTTCTTTTATCCTCCGCATTCTGGGTCAGCTCAGTCAAAAAATGGCACTAACTCTCACTGTTCACTCTCTTGGTACTGTGTGCCGTGTCTCCGAAACCCGCATACAAGATGACAGGGTTTTGACGAATCTTTGACTCCCTAGTTCTGAATCTGACGAGAATGACTACACTCTTCGAGTCTATGGTGATACCGAGTCAATGGCATAAGATATTTACGGTGTTTGTATCGCCCTCATCAGACATAGTGAAGATGTGCCGTTCGACTTCGAACCTTTGTTGGGGTTGATAAGCACCGTATGAAGACAAAGTGCCTCTTCATCGCCTCCGTTTATGTTCCTACTGATTGCAGTTCGGAAGGTATCAAAGATGATTTTTAATACCATCTATCATCTCTTCTCCGCGTGGCATAAAATATTAACATCGTGATTGTTGCCAGTGACTTGAATGTCTAAGTGAGTTGACTTTCAGACTGAACTACACCTGGGAAGGTGCTTCGGAGTCGATGCACACCGAACAGACAGTAGTGATCGATACTTGCAACTGTGCGCTAACTGCAATCTTTCTAATAACAGCACCGCTTTCCAGCACAAACGTTCACACCGCGTCACGGGGTGCCCACCGAATTCCTCAGTGATTTGGACCCAAATTGACCATATTGCCATCAGCTACAGGTGGAGCACATCAGTCCAAGACTTTCGTCGATTTGGAGCACATGTCTGGATCCCAACCATGCTTTAGCGCGCGCACGCTTGATGCTCACACTTCCCGCGCCTCTCTTCTTACCCGTAATTTGAACTCGCAATCCACGTTTTGACAATATCACAACGAGGTGGCCCACCAATTGTCATTGATAAATGAGGTTGGTGAGCCGAACGCTGACTGGGATCGTCTCAACTGTGCCATGAAGAATGCCTTTGCTGTGCGCCCGACTTAAGACGTCGTAACTGTGAATGAATCTCTGAAGCATCAATCGGTTTGATCGAAACCCCTGAATAGATTCCGATATGCATTGAATTTCAACGTATTTGTAACTCCCTGAAACGACATCTGACAAGGATTCTTTGAGTTGACCAGGAATCTTAGTGGGTTACAGCGGCCCGTGATTTGGAGAAAGCCGGAGCTATTGGATACAGTTGAGCGCTATTCCAGATCATCCGGAACACGTGTATGAGAGATCCATCAGTAAGCGAGACGATAGGTGGACAGTCAATCCATTCTCAGCGTCGTCGACTAGTCCGTTGGGCGGAACATTTTGAGGAGCAGTTCACTGTTTCTGCTGCGACAGTTCCGCTTCCCGAATCATCTGAGCCGACGTGGTTAGTAGATGTCACACCAGTCACTTTCGAAGAAATTTGACATGAGATTTACGTGTTAAAACGAACCAAGCTCCAGGGCCCGACGATCTTCCCCAATCTCTACTAGAAGATGACGGTGACTCTTTGTTGACCGGACTTGCTTCTTTTTTGACACGATTTCGGTCACTAAAGAAGTGCCTGCAGGCTGGTGACTATCAACTGTTGTGTCCATCTTCAAGAAAAGTCAGTGTTTTTGTGTGAAAATCATCGAGGCATTAGCCTTATTTCCATTGCCTCAAAACTTCTCACGGGTATCATTCTACGACGACTTACTGGTTCCCATGAGGACCGAATCACTGGAAGCCAGACTGGCTTCCGCCCTTGTCGGGGTTGTATCGATCACATATTTAGTCTCCGCCAAGTTTTAGATCAGCGACACATACAAACGACCGAATATAGTGGTTTTCCTTGACTTAAAAGCCGCTTTTGGCTCTGTTGACCGCACCAGATTGTGGCGTGCCAGTTAAACTTCTTTCCATTCTGAAATCCCTCTACTGTGATTCTGGCGGCAGTGTAAGGGTCTACGGGAAACTCTCTCCTGCCTTCTGCACCAGAAGTGGGGTTTGCCAGGGTTGTCCTATAGCTCCTTTCCTCTTGAACTTTGTTGTCGAAATGATCATGAATGACTGGGTTCTTTCTGGAGCCGAAGCTCTGCCAGGCGACCGACTGACAAGCATGGAGCATGCGGACGACAATTCTCCTTGGATCTGCTGCTTTGGGTATACAAACATTACTCCATAGACTTGTGCGTAGCGCTGCACAGGTCGGTATGTACTTTGCACCTTCGAAGTGCAAATAGCTATTTCAAGACTAGGCCGACACACCTCCGGTCCAGCTATTTCCGAACAACACAATTAGAAGACGAAGTTCAGCAGATGCATGCATTTCGTATCGTCTCATCAGTGACGATGACGATAAACGGTTATTTTGTATTGTATATTATGGTATTATATATAATATATTGTTTACAATTACCGGTTATCATTATCAGCACTGATGACAATACGAAATGCATGCATCTGCCGAAATTCGTCTTCTAATTGTGCCTTTCAAGTTACTTAGGGGAACTAACTATTTTATGTTTCCGAACAGCCACTATAAGTGAAAAATCTGTTCACTTACCTTGGTAGATTTGTCGCCTCTGGTGGTCACATCACTAAGGTAGTTACTTCACGTTTCATCAAGTCCCGTCTGGCTTTCCAGAGGCTCAACCATCTGTGGAGATGGGGGGATATCAGCTTGTTGGTGAAAGGTAGGGTGTATAACGCTGCGATAAGGCGAGTGTTACTGCATGGATCGGAGACGTGGCCAATTCGCGGCGAAGACTTTAATTGCTTGGCTGTGTTTGACCACCGGTGCTTGCGGAGTATAGCTCACGTTTGGGTGATCAATGCTGAGGTCCGCCAGTTGGTTTTTGGCAACCTCGCTCGAGCGTTTGCTAATTCCGTATTCGCTTGCGTTGACCAGGCCATGTCCTCCGTATGCCCGATGACCGGCTTCGTCGATTTGCATCGTACGTCTTGGCCGCATCAAATTGGGCGAAACGTCGAGTTGGCTAGTCCATAACCTATTACAGAAACTTGAAGAGATTTACTGAGAGACTTGTTCAAATTGGTGCGTGCTGTCTTCCTGAATGGGTGCCTCAGGTCGGTCCACACCAATGGTTGGAGACCGCGTCATACGTGACGCAGTCATGGAGCCAGTGGCGTTCTTACATTCGGGTTTTTTCATCTGATTGTCACTTTCGTTCCATTCTGATTAGTCTAGCGCATTTGGTTCTTGCTTCCATTTTCTGTACATTCTATTTGCACCCAACTCCACTACTTTACCGGTGTTATTTATTGTTATTCTTACGTTGTGAGTCGTGGCAACTGGATCCACCGCACTTCGGTGCTCGTATCATCCTTGTTCAACTGAGCTGTATTGAACTGATTGATTCGAATCCGGGGGGATTCGAACGCGTCCTTTTGATGGATTCCACCAGGTTTTAAGACAACCGTCCGGCAATCTTTAGTTCGGTCCGTGGCCCGAAGTATCACAATATTGCCTCGTAATCCGAGGGCGTGGGTTCGAGCCTGGCAGTATCGTTAGCCCACTGGCGGCTTTTAGTGGTTGCGCGGCAGCGAAGTGTCGGTACTGCATACCGACGTACTACTGATACCCCCATTTTTATGAGATTGTTTGTTACGCGATTACGTCTGTCTTTAGTGCCTCTACTTGCTTAAGGCTTACTTAACGTACTGTTTCTTTGCTTCACGCGTCTTCAACTTCTACTCAAAAAATCATTTCCACGCTTTTCCACCCTTTCACTATAGGTTCGTGAACTGGCCAACGCCGCGTTGCATTGGGGTCGCATGATTCACTTACACGGCCCTACTGAAGCAGCTCTGAAAGAGTACAAAACCAATTTTGGCTTCGGTGCTCCCACTTTGGATCAGCTGACCCAGCTGCCTCCCACTGAGTGCCGCCTTGTTCTCTCCGAGCTCGACGCTGCGTTTCGCGAAAAATCACGGGCGATGCCCACTGAACCTTTGACTCAAGGAAGAAAACGCAAACGGCTCTTTTGTGCCCCTCCTCAGTGGCTCCTGTACAGTGTTGAAAGTGTCGGTTTACCTGAGGACTTGTTGCCGGCGTATTACACGAAGAAACAGCGACTTGATGTCTAATGACTTCCGTTGTACATATTTATCATCACAGCCGATGGTCACTAGTTTGGCCGTTTCACTTTAACCTGCTGAAGTGCTGATAAAGCTATTTGATCAGTGCGATGTTTATACGCGACCTTCGCGATGCGAAAAGTTTCCTCATTTGTGAGTGGTTCGTGGTGATGGATCTTTCTTTTAGGATGAATCCCATTCCGTACTATACGTTGAGGCTTGTGCAAATCGATGACAGCTAATTGCCCGAGTAGCTTACCATGTCATATGATGACTTACAACCTACAGAGGGGTCCGTTCATATTGGGTCCAGCTCTGTTCTCTTCACGGCAGTAGAAATTGGCTTCCACTAGACTGTTAGTAGATCATTCATTTGAGACAGAAGGTAAGCATCATAGTTAAGGCTCCGGTAGACCATCGTGTGAATAAGTGTTAAAACATTTTTGACTTACTCTCAGTAGGTGGAGTTGGTCCGACAGGCGTAGGTTTACCGGACACTTCACATATTTGGGTGCGTTGATAAAAATTCAATTTCTGCTGCTGCCAAGGAATGCATACAGTAGCAGCTTTTCTTCTTCTCTCAGTTAGCGATTTACTTTCCATCCCGTGAGAAGATTCGAGTCGCTTTTTGCGTTTTCATCAGTGCAGTGTTTCGGGAGGCGATGGAGCACACGAGCATGTGTGGTAACGAAAGTGAAAATAACGGATAACTTACAACTAGCGCACTTCACGCGACTTTTATTGGCCTCCCTTATTTTCAACGCTTTGTTCCACAAACTGCGCCAGGTATACGCAGACAGTCCGACTATATGCGGGCAATCTTTTCACAACGCGGCAGATGCCCGGCTGCAGTGGTGGGCATGAATGCAGACAAATGGAGCGTTTGGGCAGCTTCAACTTCTTCCACAGCTGTAGAGAACGCGGTTTGACATTTCACTGTGAATGCGAGTCGATTCTTTCGTTCTGTGGTGTGTGTGGGGCCTCTACTTTTTAAATATAATTAGGTGTATAGTTAGGTTCGTGTTTAACTACGGTCTGACGTCTCACACGATCAAAATGACACAGGAAATCAATGCTAAGCGTAGCGAATCGTGCAGTAGCTACTGTTAAAATCCAACAGCATTTACATCCTAGGGTTAAGGTGGATGGTGAGAAAACACTGACCGACGATTGCTATACGCGTTCCTTTGGCGGAATGTCAATTTGCTGTCCGCAACTTTGTCGACTCATCTGGATGTGGTAGAATCCTCCTGACTTCTGGCCGTGTCAACAAGGTGGATGATTCCTAAGATTCAATCGACTGCTTTTGAATAGACTATCTGCGATGTTTTGGTTACCGACGTTAGTCCGTGGTGATCGTCTGCCAGCGTTTTCCATGTTGATTGGACTCGACTGGTCGTCGTCTTCGGGTTTTTATCAGACTGGACCTGACAACGTCTGTCAAGGCTCCGTTGGGCCTGCTTATTTCATTTCGATGCTTGTATGCAAGGTTTAAAGCAATTTCTGGCAGTACTACCGAAACGTGCGCCGTAACGGCGAATAACGCGTCATGTCATGCTGCGAGCTCGACAATGTGAACAACGTGTAACTGAACGCTGCTACTGTTTTATGATCAAAAGTTGAAGTTTCGTTTCATTGGGCCGATTTCGCCCACAAATGTCGGCGTTCAATGCGGGTATGTCGCGTTGTCCTTTTCCCGGGCAATGTTTTCTATCGGGTGAGGCATGTCAACTGGCTGGACGATGCTAGACGTAGCGCAAAGGGGTTCTGTGTAATGTTCCAATACGCTGTCTTCGATGTCAGGCATTTCGGATAGTGACTGTAATTTCGTAATGTACGATATGGCTTACAAATGTTGCAGTCATTGTTCGCAAAGACGTCTATGCATATGTTAACCTGTTAGAAGACGGCACATCTCTAATACAAGTGTCGACGTTTTTTGCTTCCTAACTGCAAGCCGGAAAAACATTGATGAAAAACCGATCTTTCTGAATAACAGCACCTACGGTATCTTTCAAAGCGTTAGATTGATTAGTTTGACCAGCCGTCACAAACAGACCGCCGAACTGAATAGTGAGATCGTTTGGTAGCCGAGTTAGCAAATTATTGAATCATTCTATACTATTTCCCAGACACTTTAATCCATACGGCGTTCAACTTCAGTTGTAAGGATTTTGATTTCATCTAATACTTTCACAATTTCCCCTTCCATGCGTCCGTCGTCACTTTTGCACTCGCTGTAGCGTAGCTGTCTTATTGGTTATGCGCCCTCAGCCAATGGGAGGTCGGATTTAGGTGTAGAGGGAAATCTAATCACGAATGGTAGGATGAAGTTGAGACCCTGTGGGACAATGGGTAGGAGCATGCCCCACGTTATCCCTTTTAACAAATCCTGTTGACGAAAATAGCTGATCTTTGCTTCACATTCCATCACAGACGGTAGCCAGTGTCAATGCATCTAAAGTTAGCAGGTGCTTGCAGTGGCCTAGCAAATGCACTTGCCGCCCGGGGGGCGGACATAAAATTGCCGCCCACTCTGTCGGTTTTAAATCCGTAATTTCGGACAGTTCTTAAATACTTTCATATAACAACACGCAGAGATCCATGTATACAGTACTGCCGTAAAATCAGGAATTTTTATTGTTACAATTCTTGTGAACAAGGTTTACGGAGACACTATTCGTGCATTACTTGAGGCAGTAGCATTAATAGTACTGTCCATCGTCAAGTTCGTTCTCTATGTTGCGAACTGCGACTCAGTGAGCCGTGTCTGTTTCAAAGGCGATTGAAGGTAGTTCGTCATAAGCTTACGTTTCTAGGATGCGCTCTCACAGTTGGCTATGCTAAAAATTCGGGTAAGAAATATGCACAACGGAATCCCCAAATGATATTTCGGTATGAGGCTTAAAAGTTCAGAAGGTCCATTAAGTTTGTTTTTCAATGAAGCTTTTACAAGAAACTGCAATCTTTCGGCAAGGATTCCGATTTTTCCATAGCTTCGTTGAATTTACTAAGCAGATTTAACGGTGTAAGGAAAGCATATTTGTTCTCAATATTATGATTTTTCTGGAATGTTTGGCGCTTCCTTAGTCAAAATGTCTATGAGATACAGTATTTCCCCTTTCAACTCTGCATCAAATACCATCGATATATCCAACAAGTATTTACCATCCGCTCGTTTCTTTTAGACGATTCGACGCCTCATACTTACCCCAAAGCGGCGTAGTGCTTTGAATTCATCGGTTGCAATGTGCACCACATGAGATCGCACTGTTGAAGTTAAATAAAACAGGAACCAGATGATCTACCTCCAGGCCTCTTCAGGTTTTTGGGGACCTGCTCTCGTGGGTGAATTATACGAGTTACTAGTGAAACTGTGGAAACAGGAAACTGTCCCAACCGACTTTAGCCGCTCCGTCATAGTCCTAATTTTCAAAGGTGGCTCACGATCGGAATGCGGCAACCATAGAGGAATCAGTCTGCTCTCCATCGCCTCCAAATTGCTTGCCTCTGTCATCCTTCACAGACTGACTGACACTTGTGAAAACCATTTTCCTGAAGTGCAAGCCGGGTTTCGTCGAGGTCGTGGCTGCATTGACCACATCTTCACTTTGCGTCAGTTGTTGAAGCACCGTCACATATATTGGCGGCCCACCGTTGTCATGTTCCTCGATATCAAAGGTGCATTCGATCCGGTGGATAGACTGCACTTTGGGACTGTCTAGTCAGGAATGGTGTACCCGAGAAATATGTAAATATTATCCGATCACTATACGCGCGTAGCTCGGGCAGAGTGAGGGGTTACGGCAAGCTGTCATCGCCCTTCAATATCTCCAGACGAGTGAGACAAGGATGCCCACTGTCCCCTTTCCTCTTCAACTTCACTGTTGACGAAGTCGTGGAAATCGCGTTCACAGCACACGACTTAGAAGGTGTGGAGCTACTCCCAGGAGAACGACTTCTTGACTTGTAGTATGCTGACGATATTGCCCTAATCTGTGACAGCTCACGAACGTGCCAAACTGCACTGGACAGATTAGCACTGGCTGTCAGCCGCTTCGGGCTTTGCTTTCCACCGTCGAAGTGCAAAGCTTTCCTCCAAGATTGGCTTGGACCGCCTACTTCGCTGACGCTTGTTGGGGATCAGCTAGAAGTCGTTCAAAAATTCAACTACCTGGGAAGTTGTATCAGCGCCCGTGCGATTGAAGATGAGATCACGAACTATATGGCTAAGGCTCGAGGCACTTCTGCCAACCTTCGCAACTTATGGCGGCGGCGCGACATCACTCTTGCCCTGAAGGGTAGAGTATAAAATGCAGCGATACGTTCGACCCTACTGTACGGTTATAAAATTTGGCGCCTTAGATCAGCGGACTTAAAGAGGCTAGTTACGTTCGACCACCGGTGCTTCGCAATCTAGCTCACATCTGGTGGGAACACCGCGTGAGCAACGAGCGTGTTCGCCGCGTTGTTTACGGCACAGGAAAAGGAAATGAACCGCCCAGCACCGTGGTTGCACGCACCAGACTCCGATGGCTCGGCCACGTGTTAGGCATGCCAGCCCACCGAATCCTGCGACGTTCGTTGTTTGTGCGCCGGGGGTGTGGATGGAAGAAGAGGAGAGGTGGCCAAGCGATGACTTGGTCCAGAGGAATGAAATACCTCACTTCGAAGCGGCACTCAGTTGGAGCGCCTCAGCTCCCTGGTTGGGGTCCGAAAGACGATGAACACGTTTGGTTGGATACACTTGTTATTATCGCTATGAGCCGACCTCACTCGCATTCGTGAGTTTGTTTGTCTCACCCCATCACTCTTAGCTTCCCCCTCCAACTGCGATCTCATTATTTAACCAGCACATGAAGCGGTCTATATTTAGTGATTGCTAGCAGCTACCTGGTGGTGGTTTTTCCAGCGGCTTAACCATGATGGTCTAGACAGGCAATCTTCTAACTAGTATTGCGCAGTCCCTGTAGTCTGAGGGAGGGCAGCAGGCCAGTACTTGCGGTTGGTCAGGTATGCGCCGTGGCTTGGACACTGCACATCCAAACCTGAATCAGCAATGACTACTAGGCGGTTAGACGATTTTGTGCGATTGTTATTGCGACGACCATGGGCGAC